TTAATAATACTTGTATTATTTTAAATAATAACTTCTGTTCAGGCTTTGTTCACACAAATCTGCAGAATTTATTCAACCACAACATCGAAATATTTGGTGTTGAATAAGGTATGTTGAGAAGATTTTATTCGACTTACAAAAGTTCGATCAAATTTTTGATTATTCAGAGTTTATTAGACATCGTTACTTCCTTAAATAGCGATGGTATAAAGGTGTATATAGACGCTTGATTCTCATGTGAAATAATGTTTACTTAAACACTATTATACATTTATTGAACGATTATTCAACTACGGGATAATTAATCCGAAAATAAGAACGGCACAGAGCAGGGTTGTTTCTCGTTAGTGATTGTTGCATCATTATTTCTGTCAAAGCACGCACCAATCACACAGATACTAGAAAATTTATTACATACATACATACATACACACACGTCGTTAGATGGGATTCGAACCATGACCTTCCGATCACCAGCCGCTTGCCTTGACATCTGAGCTATCCTATAGGATACATCATGCATCATATGAGCAGCTAAATAAGCAATACAAGCTTGAATCTGAATACCTATCAGCACTCCCAGCCGTAACTCTTGCTAATTCAAGGAGATGTGTGAATGATTATTTCATTCATAGTTGTTTTACATGAGACCAATGTTACTTCTCCATCTATCTAATTTCGATGGATTCCGGGGTATTCTTTTCGATAGATCGATGAATTGGTTGTCGTGAGTGATACGATCTATGATCTTAATTAGGCGTAGACAATAAATAAAAAAAGGGTTGAGAGGTTGGGATTGAACTCACGACCTTCTACTTGGAAAGCGGAAACGGTAACCACTATGCTACCAATTTTGTTTTGTTGTTAGCCTGAAACAGTGTTGTGAAATAATGAATAAATACGCCGTTTAATATGCACGTTGTTCGGATTAACGGGGGTCCACGGTACGCAAAGATTCAAGATTCAGGATTACACCAAATTGTCAAGATTCTGAGGCATCAGTTGAGATTGAGAACATTTTTCAAGATTCTGGTCTTGGAAGAATGTTCAAGATTGTGGGAATAGATTCAAAATTCTAAAAGAAATATTAAATCTTTCAATAATTATTCACAACCATAAATGCTTCCACTAGATTTGGTGTATTTAATCAATTTCATAGCGCCTCCTATAAACTGCAGAAACCATGCTCCGTATACGTTGCGGAACTCGCAGCTATATTTTACGCAGTAGAGCGAATTGCCTCACTACCTTCTGACCATTATTTAATTTTTACGGATAGTCTTAGCTCATTGGAGGCTTCAATGAGGCCGATGAAGCACTCCTCGTATTTCCTGCCTGAAATACGATCTAAACTGAGTGCTTTATCTAACTGCACCTATACTATCACCTTAGCTTGGGTCATTGCTCGATTCCGGGTAATGAGAAAGCGGACTCATTGGTGGGCGCTATGGAAGGCGATATTCTTGAGCGACAAATCGCCTTCAACGAATTTTTCTCCATTGCTCGTCAGCAAGTGCTCATCAGTTGGCAACAAAAATGGAATGATGGTGAATTGGGAAGATGGTTACATTCTATTCTCCCACAGGTGTCGAACAAACAATGGTTCAAAGGGTTGGACATGAGCCGCGACATTTATTCACAAAAATTAGATGTTCCAATCAAATTTTCCAGTTTTTCCTGGTTATTTTCGATTTCCAGTTCTCTCTGTGTAACTGTGAAAGTGCATCTAGAACACCAAGTTGAGAGCACGCAATAAGCTAATATGCGATAAGAAATAAGCTTGAAAAGCGAAGAAGAAGAAGAGCTAAACCAAAATAGAGTGAATTTGGTCACAGTATTCCTTTTTAGCTTCGGTTGTTCGTACGAGACTCAAACAAATCACGCGTCACTTTTCAAATAGACCAATGTAACATATCTGCCATATTGAGAAAATCGAAGTTGAAGTTCAGATTATCAAAGATTATTATTTTAACTGTTTAGAAACAATACAATTTGCAATACTATTTTTACTGTAGTCAGTGAACAATAACGTTGAAAATTCAGTAGAAACGGAAAAATCACAATTTTACTTTAAATCTCATGCTACAATATAGAAAAAACCACATAGGACGTTTTGACTAAATTCAAGTTGTACATCGGACATGTTACATTGGACGATTTTTTCTCAATGACGTAATCAATGAGTGTAACATTGGACGTTTTGTTCCACATGCTACTAGATTCCCTTTCACAGATTTCAGAATAGAGTACCTAACCTAACCATGCCCCGCCTTTAGAAAATGAGCACCAATCATGTTAGGTAGTCCAAATGTCCGAAGTAAAAATTACGTATTTTAAATCGTACATTGGACAATTGAGTTGTTTAACGGTAATGAGGTTAATACATATTCGTTATTTGCATTAAAAATGGAACCGAAATCCAAAATTTCATCAATTTTGGTACACTGGAACGTGCTGGAACTATTTTAAGCAAGCACGATTACATTAGCAAAAATCACCATCTTAGCGCCCCTTGATGGGATTTTGTAAGGGAGTGAGCTGTCAACGAATAGATTTAGTGTCAACGGTCAAAAATTTAAGTCTTGATTTAAAAATTGAGATGAACATCTACGGGATCGATAAAAATATCGTTGTGCTCAGAAAACGAAGCTCTATCAGATGATGTATAAAAATTGGTATATTTTTCGAAGTTAAACAACCCAATTGTTGACCTATGATTATCTTAAATAAATGAAAGTAAATTTGGGTGTTTTTGTATGACACACAATGATTGAAGAGCAATAGTTTGTATCGCTTAACTCGATTTGTTTACATTTGTTACTGAGGACCTTTTGAAAAGTGACGCGAGAAATCTCAACCAACAATATACACTCAAAAAATAAATCACATTTCCAATGGAAAATATCCATTAGAATTTCACATAACTTTCATGTGATCTCATAATTGGGAATCGCACTACAAAATCACATGAACCTTATGTGTCCAATGAAATTTATGTGATATATCACATAGAATTCATGTGATCATATGAATGTTATGTGAATTTCAGATAAAAATCATTAATTTTGTTATTGGAAAAATATCATGTGCATTCCCAATGGAAACTATATGAAAACTTTTTTCGGTGTAGACGGACCTATCAAGCTGAACATTGCATTAGGTCCTAAGTAACATTGACAGATTCTCTTCGTCGACTTTCTCTTTGTATCCCTACGGCCATGTAAAGACATTCTCAGGTATTTTCAGCACACAAATCGATAAAACAAGCTTTTATATAGTATCTAATACGACAAACACAACAAGAAACGGTTATGTGCTCAAAATATTGATGAATTTACGTGACGGTCGACCAGCAGATGGAAATGATGTGAAAATGATAATGACGTTTTGCTACCTGTCAAATCGTATGGAATATTTTTTAGTACATCATCATTTTTGTATTTGCAAATCTGAAAACTAGGTGTCGCATAGCCAGTTTTACCTTTGCTTTAATTCATCAATTCGACAGTGAGCATTCATTATGGCGTATACGCGATGATCGATTCTCTTCATCGATTTTCTCTTTTCTTAATAACTCGCTAGATTTAACGTTTGTCGGTGCGTTTGTTGTTGCTTTTGAAAGCCAATACAACCTATTACAACTCTACATTGAACAAATTCTACAAAATTGTTTCGCTTAGCTGTAGCAATGCAAAGAGAAAAACGATGAAGAGGATCGATCTTCGCGTATACGCCCTTATGCATGCTCACTGTCGAATTAACGAAAGAGAAAGTCGACGAAGAGAATCGATCAATGTTACTTAGGACCTAATGCAATGTTGCTTGCTATCTGCTTTTGTTCACAAAAATCTTTGACCGTTTCCTGAACAAAAAGAAGAAAAATGCTTCTTAGGATTTCCTATGGATTAGGGTGCTCTTTACTAAGCTCAAAATCTGGTTAAACCGTTTCAGTTACTATTTTCTCATTACTTGCTTACACAAATAATCGCATCACGTTGTGACGTACACGAACTGCACCTGGGAAGGTGATCATGACCACCCCACACCACTTCTCTTAACCGCTCTCAATGTTTCCTAACCAAGATTATACAATCTTCTAGTATATTATCTAACATTCTAAAACAAACAAGCCCAACAACAAATATGCAAATGACGTGAAAACGGCTTCTCATTGAACCTCGTAAACTTTCCTAAAATAAACCACTGACGTGCAACGCTACCGCCAAGCCGGAATGGCAATCGATAAGTGACATTCTCCGAATGGCAATGTACGAAAGACATTCGGCTGTTGAACTATTTCCCGATGGGTTTCAATTAGGAGAGGGTTAATCTGACTATTTTTAGGGTTCGCATCTAATATGGATCGGCGATTGAACCAGATCAACCCAGCTAACGACAGGGATTTTCTGGTGCTGTTGTCAATTAGATGAGCGATAGCGAAAGTGGCTCTACATTTAGATTGAACTTTTACTCGTTCAACAATTTCTGGCATTCCGTGTTCAGTCAAACGCTAACTCAACTGTATTCAGTCATGTGACTGATTAAAAGGAATCTTTCTTCACCGATGAAATGCTGCTTAACCTTCTCTTAAAATGATGACGATTAACGATGACGAGAGGCTGTACTCGCTCAATCATGGAACCTATGCGCTGATCCATGCGATCACCTGATCGATGGTGCATGGCACGTCATAGGTTCCCGTATGAAATGGTAATCGTGTGTATTACCGCATGCTAGAGCGATAAGGCCTTATCTATCACCAGAACAGTAGTGTGACTGACAGCTCAGTTCTGCCATATAAATCCGTAGCAAGGAGGCTGAATCTGGTACCAGATAAGATAATGCATCAAGGTTGATCGAGCACCTACTGTTTGTTTCGGCTGATCTAGTAACGTAGCCTTATGTAATGCACCAGACTTGAGATTGCACACGAACCAGTATATAAATGTTCATCTTCCTAATAGTACCATCATTAATAATATATTAATTATTCTCTACAGAACCTTCTACCGGTGATCACCACCTACGTGCGCAATGCTTCCGACAGCACCGACCTGAAGGCCATCCTCTCCGAAAAGATCGCCAAGGAGCAGGAACGAGTCAAGAACTTCCGCAAGCAGCATGGTGCCACCAAAGTGGGCGAAGTCACCGTCGACATGGTAAGTCAAACCCCACTAATTTTCTCCCTTTTAAATCTATTAAACGGCACAATTTTTGGCAGTGGATCCATTATTTCACATTTATAAATTACATGGCAAACAGAAATGTCACACAAGTGCCGACCTAATTGGCCCAAATAGACCAACGGTGCTAGCTTTTCAAGTTCATGACCCAGACAAACGGCAGCCGTGCACTATGGAACAGAGGATCATGAAATTTGGCCATCATCGAAGTGATTATAATTGAACATATTTTGAGAACTGTTCTCCGATCGCCTAGTCAGTACTGGTATGATATTATCATTGCGGGCATAGAAAACTCTAAATTGATAAATAACTGTGCAAGTGCATCTAGAACACTAAGCGTAAAAAGCCTATGAAGAAGAAATTGAGAACTGTTCTCATGAGGAAAGAATTAAAATTGACTTGTGACCAAAATTCACATTTTTTTTTCGCGCTACATCATGTGACATCACCTAGTCCGATGCAGTAGAATGAAGCGGGCGTTTAGTGTCGACTCAATAGTCAGAGGCCGTGTCTCTCTTTGATTGAATTAAGTAATTGATGAAATCGTTTTGATCGTAGCTCTCCGCCCAACGACGTGCATATCCATGTGGCATGACAACAGCACTTTAGTGATAAGTTAAGACACGTTCAATTGGAACAATTTCTTCAAACGATTGGCGCGCGCTCGTCGCAACATGCAATTACCAGCTGACTGCTGAGCTTCCTACATCCTACATCATATGTAACCTCTACCATCACTGATTCATTCAATTGTAGCTAGTACCTATTGTATACTGCTTATGGCGCTTTATGTGATTCATTCTAAAAAAAATAGTAGATATATGGTAGGTTCCCTTAAGTTAAAATACAGTCAATTCTGTTTTACGCGATTTTCATTGTTTTTATTTTGCCTTCGTGCAGAATAGGTACAAAATTCTAAATATCTCCATATTTTTCTTTGATTTCTTTTTGTGATTTTTGTTCCAAGTTGCACAAGTTGCATTACATTTCTAGACCAGCAATTGAATTAGGCTGAACAACCGAACGTAAACAACTAACAATACCATTCGATAAAGGAAGTTTGCTCTATCAGATGGTGGTGTTAGATTGCGTGGATGTGTTTTGATTCTCGAGAAATTTGCGATGAAAGCCATTGTTTACATTTGGTTGTTCCGTCTATTTCAATTGTTGGTCTAGATTTGTTTGCAATTTGAGATAACACGATCACAAATAGAGGCGAAAAATAATCGCGTTAAAACAGAATTAGTGTAGTTGTTTCCTGATAAAATCCACCCGAAACCTCTTGCCTGCCGAATTTTGGTAAAAGAAGTCATATTTGAAAAAGTTACACCTGCACAGAAAGCAACATTCAACTCTGCGAATGTTTCCATTCCCAGCCAACATTTTTTTTATTGACAAACGTAATTTGCTGATACACCTTGTAGTTAGGTATGCAAATCTGTACCCGCTAAGAGGGGTATAATTTGTATCGTCCTCGGATCACATGGTCAAACGTGAGTTAATATTTAGCGATAAGCACGGGCTATCATCATTTGGCGGTGCTGCGTCCGATACACATACGATGGTGGTAATTTACATTGAAAATAGAGACGGATCCCGAGCAATGTCTGAGATCAAATTGAAAACTAAATTTGGTGTTGTGACATCACATTGAAAACTAATTCCGCTATCAGTGAGAGCAAACTGAAAACTCAATGCGATGTACATTTTTCCTGTTGATAACAAAACGAGTATACAATTTGATGACAATGAAAACAAAACTGCAACAACATATTTTTAAAGAGCAAATGTACAGCAAAATTAAAACAAATTGCTGTCATTTTGACGCTGGACTTTGCTCGGGGACTCACTAATGTAGATATAGGACTTGTGCGGTTATTTTTCTTTTTTAAAAGATGAAAAACAAAAAACTGGTGAAGCCCAACTGAAAATCATCGAATAGCTAAAAGTTTCAGTCACTCAAAGTCACACGGTGACTTTTGCAATCAACCTTAATTAGTGTCCGGTCATCACACAGTATCACAGTATTGAAGGTGGATTTGCTTCGCACACGATTTCAGATCGTTTTTATCACCATCATGGAAGCGATAAATTTGAATCATGGAGCACACTTTTTCAGCGCTCGACACGACTGTCGCTAGTTGGCGAGATTCATCACATGATATTCGGTTTTCGTTTTTTTTTGTTGTGTTTTGGAAAATTTTCTATGTTTACTGTACAGAGAATAATATTTACCGATAGATTCACATTGACTTCAAAATTGATGTAGAACGCATCGAACACCCAAAGGTTTGAGAATTGGGCGTAGGAGAGTAAAGTTCATAATGCATCCACTAATGCAGACATTTTACATGTCGAAATGCTAGTTTAAGTGCTGAACCAGCAAAGTCGTAGCCTACATTCTTAGCCCTTTAAAAAGCTTTTACGTCGAATCATCAATTAAATCTGCTTTAATTATTTAATTGATTTTAATCAATAATAAATTAATGTACAGGTTATCACAACTGCCAAGTTATCATCGATTTCGCCTACCCGAGAACATGACTTCTAGGGCAGGTTAAGTTTCGGCATCCCACTGCTCTTTCAATTTGTGTTGAAGTTCTCATCAAATAGGTCAAAATTCCTAAATTCCCGAGACATTTATGAGGGTTCGTAGAGTTCTCTGTATCTCTCTTAAATAAATGTTGGACTAACATACCTTTCCTATCCCTACCAGTTGTAGGGACGTGGCCAGGACAATCCTTAACTGTTGAAGCGGGATATGTTTTTATCTGGGAGAGAGTAATTATTTCCTACTTACTATCTGTCCAGTAATAGATATCCGTCTGTTCTTAATAGTTTTGAATTCGTACCACCTACGATATTCGATGCTAATGCTAATGCTTAGTCCTCATCAAATAGGTCAAATTTGAAGAGATTTGATTGTGATCTGGATTTACCTGTCGAATTACAAAGTTAAGTATGGAAAACGAAATGAAAGTATCTGACGAACTAGGCACGGCTAAAAATCTAATAAGTACCTAAAGTAAAAAAGTAGAACAGCCTGCACCTAAGGGTACGAACGGAACCTTGACGTAGAACCACGATTGGTCGCTGCATTTGTTTTTGGGTTGGATTCTTTTAATTGTTCAAAAATCTATAAATTTTTAAACGGTAGCCCTAAAAAGGGCCCCCTTGTTGTTAGCTTGAAATTCCTCCAATCAATTTTTGGTAGGGGAAACAGTCCGAAATTCACCGGGGGCAAAACCAGAGACGATGAATAATAATGGACGCGCGAAGACTGAAGCCAAAAGTTCCAATCGAACCGTCAAACGCGGTTCCAATCGAGCAATGTAAATAAACACGAGGGCTTCGCGAGGAAAGCGTGAGGAGTATTGAGATTGTGGATGAAATTCTATTTTTGAGATTTAAATAATTATAATTAAGTTTGCGTATGAAAAGTGCAATTGGATGCTCTTTGACTTTTGGAATACAAATAGAACACAATTAAAATCTTTTGAGATCATTTTTTTTATATTTACATCAATGTCAAAAAGCAAATATTTTTTTAAAAATTACAAAACCGCTGATCGACTGTAAAGTTTTTAATTACTGGATTTGAATGATTGATGAATACAAAGACAAAACATTTTGAACCTATTATCTAGTTTTATGTGAACATCGTGACAGTCTTCAAAAATAGTGATTTGCAATAGCATCATCAAGGTAGCTAACCGGGCTGTAATATTGTTGTTATTCACCAGCTGTATTCTCGTTATGTTCTCACGAAATATGCGCTCCAGCTAGTGCAACGAAAAACATATACAAAGGCCCTGTAACGTTGATCAAGGCGTTTCCGGTGTAATCTGTCAAGATAATGAATTTGGGGAAAAATGTCTAAAAAGGGATTTCTCGATTACTTTTTAAAGGGACGTATCTGCTTTTGTAAGCAATGTATTTGATCATCGGTTTGGCGTAACTGTTAGCTCACCCACGGTAGTGTTAGCAAGCGTGGGCGAGCCACCAGTTAGGCCAAATCGACGAGGAAATGCATTGTTTTCAAAAGCAGATACGTCCATTCGAAAAAGAAATCGATATTTCGAAGCATGAATCGCAGATTGCATAATTTTGCGCAACGCTCTGTAAAATATTCCCTCAAATGTAGTCTATTTTTGGTTTCACTCAGTGTTGTCAAAAAATGATTATTCAAATACTTCGTTTGAATACCGATACTACCGAAACGATTAAAAAGATATTCGCTCAAATTTAAAGTCACTCGAAGTAAACACAAAATTGCGGGTTGCCAAACCTTCCAGACAAATTGACTTTGTTGACCGGTTAACCAGATTTTCTTTTATTCTCTCCGCGCGTCTCTTATAAAACATCGTTTTCGTACTTAACCCACTTTTATCCAATGACATTTATATAAGGTCTGGGCCAACAAGCAGCTTGCTGGTGTTAGAAGCAAAAATGTTGTAAACCTTGCTGAACATCTGCGAACAGATAGAAATACGTCACTGACAACAGCTGTTTCGTGTAAAAAGATAAACATTGCAATGAAATACGAACACCACTAAGCATTTGCACATTTCACTAACACCAATGAGCCTTTTGGCCCACCTTATATAAACGTCATTGACTTTTATCTACCGATTGAGTAAACATATTTGACAACCCGAAAAAAAAAATTACAGTGAAATTTTCAGTGGAAACAATGCTCTAACATTAATATTTATTGTCGACAATAAAAATAATTGTTATAATGTTGTACTCTTGCGAAAACGGCAAAACTGCTACCTAGATGTACAATGAATGTACATAATAAAATGTTGTTACAATGATTTTTATCGTATTTTTCATTTATTTTATTGTTAACATGATTCGATTATGAACAATAATGAACAACTCTATTACAATACAAATTGTTGTTACATTAAATATTGGTGTGTTTTTATTGTGGGTTACTTCACGAACAATAAAAATAAATCTGATTG